CGTACGCCGTCAAAGTACCGGCATAGTGTAACGGACACGGCAATTGTCATTACGTCGGACGCGCCGGGGCCGGGCACAGTGCGTCCGCGATGTGGAAACGCGAAAAGGGAAATCTCCGCGGCCGCGGCGCATTGTGCGATAATTGTACGAGCGAGCGCGCCGGAGCTTCTCACTCACGCAGCCGCCGTACGGTCATGACTGCATCGGTGAGCGAAATCCAGCCGTAATGTGACATAATAAAATAACGTTCGAATTGTAATTTTGCGCGTAATCGTACACACGCATATAGGTGGGACGCCGACAGCGCCGCGTATTTGTTTTTATTTTTTTTTCATCGTACGCGTAATGTCGAAATTCCAAACATCATCCGCAGACGTATTACACCTGAACCAACGTGAACAATTATAATCGTTTTTTTCCAAACCGTAACGTGTTACACGTTACGGAAAAATGAATTGGTTTTGTTTTTTTTTTTTCTCTCACGATACCCGTGTACATAATGTACTGTCGTACCTGCGCGGCGCCCGTATCGTTTCTGTTACAATGGTCGAACGACCGCGACCACTCGGTTTTTCGGCGGTGCGCATTTCGACGACAAATGAGCGTTTTTACAATTCTATCGATACATATTCGGGTGTGTTTTTTTTTTTCTTTCATTATTATTATTATTATTATTATCGTGTCGCGGACAAGGACGCGATTAGAGTACCCGCTACCGCAGCGGAACGAAAACGAGTTTAAAAGTCAATATAATAATAATATGCATGAATTATAACAGCGCGAACTGCGTCAAATTCGCGCACAAGCATAATGTCTTATGTAATATACACCGTGTGCGGTATGTATGCGTGTATTTTGATTTTTAAATAATTTAATAGTATCAGGTGTCAAGGTCTCGGACGCTCGACTGCAGCTTTACAACCGTCGATTTTCTGTTCAAAGCGAACGGTAAATTCAAAGTTTCGCGCTGTATACAAATTTTTTTTTTTTCGACAAACTCCCGAAATGAGCTTATTTTTCATTTTTTTTTTTTTCTATGTTTACATCCGGAAATGAAATAGACGACCACCGTCTTATCTCCGGAGTACTGTACACGTCCGTGTGTCCGATTTATAAGTCAACAAATGGGGTTAACACGAGTATTAACCCCACAGCAAATAAATGATAACAGCCGAAAATAAACTCATCGCCGCTAAAAAACAACGGAAGTCCAACCCGGAAATTCGACGTTATATTATATTATTACACTAGGAATTTTTCCTTACGGCACACGTTTATTATTTTTTTTCAAAGTTAAATACAACCTAATGTACCTTTTAGATTCGGAGTGTAGCCAGAAATGTATTGGTTTTACTAATATGTTTATTTTTTTTTACACTGTGTATGCAAATTCTATTCCGTTTCGTTTTTTGATTTTCTAAGCGGTTTTCATAATACCCAGGGAAAACCAGAATAAAACGAATGAAAAACGGGAAATTTACAAAAATTATGATTTTAATGTTTTTTTATTATTCTCAATTTTGTTAGTTGTTGTAATTCAATTAAAAATATTCGTAGAATTTAAATTCGGTGAGAAAACTTATATCTACCTTTTATAGATATGGTCAAATTTTCAGAACATTTGAGCTTATTTTTGTTTTTGATAAAGGAATTTTAACATCAAATTTTGACGAAAACCGTTGAGTAAAAAATTATGTGGAACAAATCGAATTTCTCAATTTTCTTTCTGTCAGAATTGAGCAAACTGACTTGGTTTCGAAATAATAGCTTTTTGAAATTGAAGTTCTCATAACATATAATATGTTAGGTTAAATAAATCTATATTCTACAGCAGCGGTTCCCTAACTTTTTCCATTCAAGGCTCCCTATAATAAACTCATTTTTTCACGTCCCCTCAAAGAATATTTAAACATAGATTAACAATTATTCAATATTTGTTAGTTAACAGTAAACTTATTATTTTACGCAAAATAATTAATGAGAACAATGCGCTAGTTTTTGGTTTATTAATTTTTCAAAACGTTAGGAATTAACGCAGTTACTGCAACACGCATTTCTTTTTCCACGTCGAATCCGGACCGATGTTTTGATTTTAATGCTAAAACCCCTGCTTCACGCAAAATACAATGCGGCAAATGGTATTAATACACCTAAAGCTTTGTTGCCGACTTCAGTTGTAAACAGATGTACGCTTGCACGGTATACGCTACGAGAATACGACAGTTACAATGCTGGATTACTGTGATATTTCGTAACAAACGTGTGTCGCGTATGGACAATATGAGACAAATCGTTTCTTTTAAAATGTTATCGGACACATTCCAACCGCGCGCCGCACAGTTTGAGAACCGCTGTTCTACAGTATCGCGGAAGACGGTCGTCGTTTTCGATTTATTTATAAACACGTACTTACCTTGCAACAAATGAATTTGCCATCGTAACCGGTAACTGCGAAACCGTTCCGGGGAAACGAACGCACGGACGTTTTACAATTGCGGTGTAGGTGCGCGACGAACCGATACGAAAACGAATCATTATCGTTAATCCGAATATTCGACAAACGAGTAGGAGGTATCGCGAACATAACACCGAGCGCTGGCGCGTCCTCGTATTATACGCCGCGCGACTGCCCGTGATCTCGACGAACGGCGACGACGACGACGTTAATCGCATTATTATTGTTTTACAGATGTATGGTTTTCCCCGTAGGCACGGAAAAGAAAAAAGAAAAAACCGAATCCGACTCCGCGTCACCGAACGAAAACGTTTCACGTCTAATACACGCGACCGAAACGGCGACGATGTGACTGCGCGACGGTGCGCAGCCGACATTTTTCCCGATTTCCCATAGGGTACCGCGCCGTTTAAGCGGTTACCAGTGACCACTAACCGGTGACCATATATCGGCGAATCGGGGACACTCGCGGTGACATGGAAAAATAGGTAAAACGTTTCACGTCTAATACACGCGACCGAAACGGCGACGATGTGACTGCGCGACGGTGCGCAGCCGACATTTTTCCTGATTTCCCATAGGGTACCGCGCCGTTTAAGCGGTTACCAGTGACCACTAACCGGTGACCATATATCGGCGAATCGGGGACACTCGCGATGATATGGAAAAATAGGTACCACTCGTCCCCGGCCCCGGGGGAGGGGGCGTCGTTAGTCCAACCTACTTTAACGATGGTCGTGTGAACGTTGGGTCTGCACCCTCGCCGCGAACCGGCCATTTTCCGATCGCACTGCGCCGGCAAAAATGAAACATCGCCATGTCCGCCGCGTTTGCAGAATCCGTTTTCCGTTCGAACTGAGAATAATTCAAAGGTAAGTAGCTCGTTTTATTTTTACCCGACGATTTCGTTTTGTATATTACACGTATAATCAGGGCTGGCGAGAGGGTGGGCCGGATAGGATTAGAGCCCCGAGGCCCGTACAAAATTATTTTATAATCATTCGCCATAGCATCAGATGTAAATTTCAGAAAATTTCGGTATACCAGAATGAAACAATAGTATGACCAAGGATGGGCAAATTATAGTAAATAGTGCAACTGGATACAAGTTACTTTAATTTTGGGTAACTAATTACAAGTTACACATAAATACACAATAAAATATATTCAATTTTTTTTTTTAAAAAAAAAGCATTAAGCCCATAAAATTACTTATATTGTAATAAAATATGATTCAATGAACAAATTAATAATTTTAGTTAAATAAATAAAATTATAATTATAGAAATTCATTAAAAGTAAATCATTAAATTTTTACAATGAAACTTAATGATTGGTACCTTATAATGCATAAACCGTATACTTTCCAATAGTCCCAATATTAATAGTTTTATTTATTTGTACACGAGTATAACTAATTGTTTTAACCAAACAAAGCCTTCTTAAATATTACCATAAAATAATTTTTAATAAATTTAAATTATTAACTGGAAAATTAAATATTTACTTTAATTAAAAATAATGTAAAATATTATTCTACTGGTATATAAAGATGTCAAAAATAAATTCAAATGTGTGGGTACTATTTATCTTAGTTTTGTTGCATAGATATATTAATTAATATTATAATACACTTATATTTTTTATAAATCAATTAAAAATGAGTCAATCATACTGTCTATATTATTAGCACTATTATTTACAAATTATGTTAATAATATTAACTATAAATATCATTTCCTTTAAGAAACACAAGTTTTTCAAAATTGGCATTCGATAAATTACCTCTATTTGGGGCATGAATAAATCCAGCAAACGAAAACAATCTTTCAACTGGAGCTGATGATGATAAACTTGTATTGTATCTAGTGAATAATTTTTTACAGTAGGATAACTGTCTAAACATGTTAATGCCTTATTTGTATTGTTGAAAAACTAAACTACTTTTAAATTAGCCCTAGAATCAAAACACTATTCCTGAAAATAAAATAATAAAAAGTCCTCATCGTCTATATTATCTACTCATGACTCAGTGTGAGAAGAATTCACTATATATTTTTCATTATTTCATCGTGTTCAGGAATCCATCTTAATTTAAATATAGGATAAAAACAAGATGCCAATATAGCTTTATCAACTTCAGGAGAGAGATCAAAATATAGTTTGAATCGTTTTTCTAACGAGGGTAATTAATGGATCGATGAAGTTGAAAGTATAATGCAAATGTTGTTCCTTTAATAATTGCAATCGACTTTTTAATGAAAATAAAGTAGGAATTAAATGGCCATAGTAAAAATTTGATTCACTTTGTAGATGATCCAGAGCACAAGCGATTGGTTTCATTATTAAAACTAATTCAGTCAAATAACTTATGTCAGTTTCGTTAAATTGATAATTTAAACCTAATTCTTTAGTCAAGGTGTTTAATTTTGCTTTATGTTTAATTAATTGTGATATGGAATCATATAATGAATTCCATCTTGTAATAACAAGGTATTTTAAAGAACAATTAATTATATTACAAATAACTTTTGATGATTTCAGTCTTCGTGACAAATTCCATAAGGTTGAACATTTTGATAATGCTGGATGATGGTACTTTTTGGCATTTTAATTCTTTAATATATTCTGGAAATCTGTTGTTGCTAATAGATTAAGTGTATGTGATGCACAACGTAAATGTTGGGATAGTACTGGTTGTAGGATGTCTCAGTCTTCATTTCCATCAATAACCAAAAATGATAACTTATCGTCTAAGTTAAGATATTTGTCCATATCTAAATATATTGACCCATTATAAAAAAATGTATGTATAATATATACCTTCGTCGGAGTCTGTGTCTGAATCAGTGTTTGATGTCTTTATTATACAGCCAAAGTCCTTAAATTTAACAAAGTTGCACCCATTATCCGTTACTGTAGGAACTATGTTATCATTATTTAAATGAAATTTGCTAAATAAATCTACCATAATTTTTCCAATTTTATCAAATGTATGTGCACCGAAAAATCGTTGGCAAGCTAGAACACAACTATGACAGCCTATTGTTTTGTCATTGATCTGAAAATAATTTTTTTTTAATTAAAAATAAGAGTATTTAGCTGTATAGCCTATAGCTGCTATAGGCTATAAAATAATCAAGTTTACCCAGTGAGCTGTAATGCCTATACAACTGTGATGTTTTGTCGACCAAATGTCAGCAGTTGTACAAATGTGGACTTCAGAATGTGTTTGAAAAATAATTTTAAACTATTTCAAACATTGATATATTTGGATCTAAATTTAAATAAGTATATTATTTGAAATTGGATTAAATACAATTTGTGTATTTGATAAATTATCATAAAAAAATATTTATTTTCAGTTATGGATAAGGGTTTCATATAGTTAACAATAAAATTAACCAAATTATTTTCATATTGGGTTTGCTTCAATCCTCCGCTGTTAGATGGGAATAAATTGTGCAGTTTTAATTGTTTAAAATTTGTCATACTTTTATCATTTTTCTTTTGATTATTCGTCTTCACATAATTTTCAAATTCTTCAAATTTAGTAAAATGAACCCTCTGAAAAGTAGAAAATTAAATCATAATTCCATGCCTTTTTAATTAATAATGTATATTGTGTTAACTACAAAAATTAAACTTGCCTTCATATGAGTACGAAAATTCGAAGTGTGTTTAAAAGAACCAGATATTGTTTTTTTTTTTCATTCTTCTGTTCCTTACATATCATACATATTGTTTTTACAATTTCGTTCTTAACAATTACAACTTCAAAAAAATTTCAATCTAATATAGCGGGTGTTTTATTCATATATAACAAAAAAATCGAAAAAATACTAACAACTAACAAAGTATAACCTTAACTGATACACAACTAATTTCGGTTAAATTAAAACTAGTAATGCCACAATTGTTCAAAGTACCTACAAATTTCCAATTTTATTTTTATAATATTTATTAGAGTTGTGATTATCTATATACGATTAGATTAGGAAATATCAAAATACATACGTCGTATTGCATACTAAATCATATCTACGGTTTTTCCAGGCTTCTATATTCATGACGCAATTCTAAATATTATTTACACCAATACAATTTGATTTCCATGATGATCATATTATTACCTATTATTATTATATTATATTGGTATACTTATAGTATATAATTATCAAGTTTTCAGAGCGAGTACATGAATGTTTAAAAAATGTATTTTCTAAGACTTATGATATTATTAACATTTTAAGGATAGTAGGTACCTATCTAAATAAACAAAAATTATAAAATAAATCATATTTGATTAGCTTTCTCATTCTTTAATGAAAATATTCAAGTTTAACTCACGTGATATCATTTTTATTGAATACAAAAATGACATAATTATTGTACTATTGGTAATAATGTATTAGTATTGTAACAATTTTGGATTATTTTTTTTTTTTATGATTTTTGTAACTTGAGTTTTTTGTATCTAATTGTTACAAGTTACATAACAAATTGTGACTCGTTACATTTAAAAGTTACTTTAAAATTGTGCAACTAATTACAAATTACAAAAGTAACCGAGTTACGTAACTTTGATACATGTAACTGATTACTGCCCATCCCTGATTACGACAATCTCCAAAGAACACCTGACGAAAAAATGTATTTTTGTTTTTCGAGTAAATAAAACAATTGTTAATTTAATGAAATGACTCTATTTAGTTTTGTCATCAGTAAATAAACGATTTTAACTAAACCAAATACCATATTTTTGATGTTCACGTGTTATGAAACTTGAACATTTGTATTGTAGTGAATCGTGTACAATTATGTACAGGTAGTATGTATGTATCTTGGCGGCTAAACAAGTGTAAGTAAAGGGGGCCCGGAATCGATCAGCCCCGGGGGTCCGCTAAAGTTCTCGCCCGCCTAATATATACTTCGCTAAAACAATCGCGCGTCGTCTCGCAACGGTAACATATTATAAATGTTGAATTTGCGCGTGATTTTTACGCGCGTCCTTCTGATACGTTCGGTTTATCACGATACCCACTGTTATACGATAGTGTTTGATCGTGTAAACTCAAGTGTTTTCCCGTTAAACGAAACAACGGCGATCGGATAGGTATTATTATTGTTACACCTATTGGACACGTGAACCATTTCGCGCTCGTCTACAATGAGACTGGGTACCTAGGTAGTAGGTGTACACACCTAGTCCACGTATGACTAGACCATGTATAATCTATCTATTTTGCTTTACACGGATCACCTATTAAATATTTAAACTATAACTATCTCAATTAATAATTTAACAAATAAACATTTTTTATATTTTTTTTCGTATCAAATAGCAATTTAAGGTTATATTATATTAAAACAATACAAAAAATAATATTAAATATAAATTTGATGCAACAATCAGACTCTTACATCAGTTATGTAGTGAGTACTTCTTAAGGTACTTCTGTAATAAGCTTTGTAAATTAATACTGCATAACATTGATAAAACATTATAACTTAAAGAGTGGATCAGCTGATTATAACAAAAAATATAAAACAGATTAAAATATATTGCACCTATAAAAATATGAAATTTACAAACATTAAAACGATTAATTATTTAAAAAATAAACAGACCTTTAATTGTATACAAACATTATATCTAATAACAATAACTAATTGATAATGTTAACAACTAAGACTATGTTTATTAACATATTATCAAACTTTAAACTAATATTTGAGAATAACAGTAAAAAGAAAATAAATTTAATGATCACGATTTTGGACACTTATAAACCCTGGGGAAATTCATATATTAGAATTTTTGATTTATGAGAATTTGTATATTGGCTTTACATGTCATATCATTTATTATATTACTTGCACCTTGAGATTACATCAACATTAGTAAATTTATTGCCTGTACCAAAAATACTAAAAATAAAGGTGACTTTTTTGAGCAATAATTACATAAGCGAGTACATAAGCATAATCCAATTCGTAATTCTTTTGAAAATATTCCATAATTGTAACAGCTGACGTAGCTTCAAATGCACCAAATTTAATTTACACCACGTCTAAGTAAGTCCAATATAAGTATTATCACCAAGTTTAAAGTCTAATCGTGTATTTATAACCGAAATACAGCAAAAAAAACTCCCAAAAATTAAAATGTTTTGTGTGGCTCAAAAGTTTTGACGATGGTACCGTAAGAAATTAAATCAAAGCAACAAAAAAGTTATCTTGTGATTTTTCGATTAAATCATTTTTTCTGATAAAGAACGTCGTCCGTATTTTTATAAAATAATGAAATCGTGAAATTGTACGTTTTCCTACGTTTTTTCCCACTTAAGTAATTTTATTTAAAAAATGACGTCGAAAATCAAAAATTGATCTGTATAAAGTACAATGTAGACAAGTTGAGCTTTCGGGTAGAAGTGTTTATACGTAAAAACCGGAGCAAGTTTACTAAGAAAAAACGTGTCCACATGCTAGAACAAAGACCAAAGAAAAAAAATAATAATAATAAACAGGATTGTAATACCGATAGCTCCCCTCGCTACGTTCGGAATCTAAAAAAGACTATTGTAATTATAATAATTTTCACGGACGAATAGTTAAATTTCAGCGCGTGTCGTGCAAGTTAACCCGGCACCACATCGTCGTCGTCGGTGTGTATGGAATTTATATTATAAAGTTTTTCGCGATAAATTTTACGGGCCGTTAAAACGAACGCATATCGTACATGCCGTGTATACAATAATAATGCACTCGTCGAGTATTAAAAACTATATTACATTATCCCTCGGAGAATAATAATTGTAGTATATTATGTTACAGAGTTGATATTTATGTTGTACATTTACTTAATTCAACGCAAACAAACGGACTCGTTTGTATATTAAACAATACGTAAGTTAAGTAAATTGCATATTATACTGTAGAATATCAGTAGCAATATTATTATATTATTATTAAAATTGCGCAGGTATCTATACACAGTATACTTATTATTATTATATTGTTTCCAAACGCAAATAATTATAAATAAACCTATCGTAGAAATTAGTATTAATATAACAATTGATCGTTTATTGTAATATTGTATAAATACAATTCGCGGGCACCTATCCAAAGTATAAATCACGCTGACAAAACGTTTTCGGTATGCGTAATAACGATCGGACTTGAGAAATTAATATTTGCACATCATAGTGCGGGCGTATATAGGTTCCTATTTTAATAATTTAGGACCTTTGGTTTTACAGTAACAACACGTCTGCGCATGTACATTTGATTAAAACGTTTACAAGAACTTTGAACACGATATTACAGTGATCGGTAAATTGTGTATACTCAGACCACAAACGTACTCGAACAATTTTCGAACAAAATCAACACCCTTAATGTTTTACGGTGAACCGATTTTAGATTGTGAGTGTACAAATCATTGTAATTTATATTATAATATTTTGTAGGTATCGGTTTTACTTAAATGCGGTTTTTTTTTTTTTCGGTAAATTAAAATACTCAATATTGCCCAAATAACGTTCAAATTGTTTGACCGGAGGGTTTTTTAATTGAACAAATATTCAAAATTCATAACGAGTTCCGCTCAGAATCGTTTTTCGATTGCAACGATTTATCGCCATTGCTGCCAGTACAGATAAACTAAATCACACCATATCATAACGGCTACACACTTTCGATTTCCCGTTTCCCGATTCTCTTCGATAACATATTTAATCTCGTATAAGACGTGTCCGCTTATAAGAAAATCTGTTTTGTCGTCTCTGTCTTACAAACGCATGACGTAGAAAATTTGCATTTGGCCGAACCAATTTTGTTTTATTAGTTTTAATTTCACAGTGAATTGACTTGACCTATACTAAGAAACGTAAAGATAATAACGTTATCTATGACGTGTTTATATATATGTTATTTTTTTTTTCGTACACTTTTATTTTTAAGCGA